AAAGAGAGAAAGAAAGAATAAAAAATAAACGGTATTACAGAACTATGAAATGAGATGGGCCTATCTACATATGATTTGAGGACCTGATGAAGGCAAGAGAGATAAGTGCACTGAAAACTTGTGCAGAGGGATTGCCCAAAATGCATTCTATCCAGAAGAGACTACTCCAAGACATTATAATCAGACTAAAAGTTGCAAAACAGAGGAATGATCCTGGAAGCAATAAGACAAGGATACAAGACATGTACAAAAGAGTTCTAGTTAACCTGGCAGGGAACTCAGCAGAAATGCTTCCCATCAGGACAGAACAGGATGCCTTCTTCATAGTGGAAAGGAATAAGACTGCCAACCAAGAATACTGTTTTCAACAAGCCACATTGCAGAATATATAGAGAGATGGGCCTACCTGTACCAAGAAAGCTGAAAGAATTCGCTGCAACCATACCTGTCCTGTCAGAAATGTGAAAAGGACTCCTTCAAACTATAAAAGAAGATTCTAATGTGCAAGTTGCAACATTGCATCCAACAGCTATAGAATACCATTTTCTCAAAGGCACATGGACCACTTTTTGGCTAGATTCATCTGTTAGGTCACAAAAATATTCTTAAATATTGAACAACACTGATATAGTAACAAGTATATTTTCTGGTTATTATGGGAAGAAAAAACAAAAAATCAATAAGAGGAGAAATTAAAAATCTTACAGATACATGGAAATTAAGCAACATGCTCATCAACCAAACAAAAAATGAAGATATTAAAAAGAAAAATTTAAAACTTTCTTGAGCAAATGAAAATGGAAACAATGTAGTAAAACCTATGGGACACAGTTTGAAGAATTTTTAAGCCATTTTGAGAAGGTACGTTACTGCCATAAACACCTGTATTGAAACAGAAGAAAGATCTTGAATAATTTAATGACATACCACAACAAGTAGAAAAACAAAAATAAAATAAAGATTATTAGTAGAAAGAAAATGAGATTAGAACAGAAATAAAATAGAGATTGGAAACTATGAAATATTAACAAAATGTGACACTTGATTTTTGAAATTAATCAAACTTTTAGCCAAAATGAGAAAAGTAGAGAAGATGCCAATACACAAAATCAGAAATGAAAGAGAAGAAATTAAAAATAGATTACATTCTTGGACACCTGAGACCTACCAAGATTAAATTATGAACAAATCAAAACTAACAAGCCAATAGTGAATAAATTGATGAATCAGCAATAAAAACTCTGAGTAAAGGAAATCCCCTCTCCAGATGAATTCATGCTTGAATCTTATCAAACATTTAAAATATTACAATAGTTTTTCTTAAATTATTCCAAAGAATTGAAGATGAGGCAATACTTGCAAACTCAGGAGGTCAACATGAACTATTTTACATTACTTATGACCATTTTCTCTGACATCTCTTTCTAGAGAGGTCTGTGTTCTTTTGGAGACATCATGTTAGTTTAATTTTAAAATATTTTTCTGTTCCTGATTAATATGTGCATGTTAGGCAAATATTTGCATGCTAGTTTTATGTGGTTGTTTACATAGTTAAGCCTTTTTGTAAAGATAGGTTCTGAAATGTCACTTTGCAAGCTGCGTGGGCTTTGGTCCCAGCTGTGTGCGATAGTGTGCTGTCTCTTTAGCCTCTTTGGCCTGTGTAATGTTGGCAATATCTACAGATGCTTCAGTGGTGTAGGCATCAAGGGTTTGTGTGTTTATTTTGCCAGCTGGGCTGTTGCTCTGTTAGATACGCTGAATTTGTTGATGACTCTCCCTTGTGCCTGGCTGTAGGTATGGGACACCTGTCAAATTCTATGGTTTGCATGCAGATGAGTTTCTTCTATTGAACCTTTATAAGTGAGGTGCAGCTGACAAGAGGGTTGAGGCAGGAAGCCCATCAACTTCTGATAGTTGGGGAGGTAAAGACTGTTGTAGGTTATTTTGCTGGAGTGGTGCAGCGTGTTTTATAGCAGGGGTGTGGCACTTCTTAGTGCCCAAGTGCTGTGTGGATGTGTGTGGATGTCAGAAGAATAATGTGCCCAGGGCAGACTAAACAGCTGCTTCCTGGAGCCAGGATGTGGGTTGGGGCTGTGACACTAAGCTGCTTGTTAGTTCTGTGCCCAATCCCATGATCTTTGGAGGTCTAGGCAGACTGTTCCCCTGAACTGAGCATGGTTGGTTAAAGGCACAAGGCTGCATATCAGGTTGTATAAGATGTTGGATATGACCATTCAGCTGCTTCTAGGAACCCAGGTGTATGGAGTCCTCAGATTACATGTACAGCAAGAGCTGTAACAGAGCTAGGCTTTTTCTGGGGCAAAACTGCTATGTGAATTCCCTGACAGGTCTTTAATATGTTTTCTGAGCCTATGAGGGATGTAGACTTGTCCAGTAGCAAATGCCTGTGTGTCCTTACCATCATTGGAGACAGCTAGAGGACCTGTTTTCCTTATTTGCTGGTGAGCAAGGCTGGTAGGTTTATTGTCGAGATAGGGGGAAAGATGTTTTGCCCTTTGCTCCTTTTTTAACACAGCTATTTTTAAAATAATTCTATTGAGAAACAAATAGTAATGAGACAGATTAGCAGGACAGTTTCAATAATTAATACATTGCATATTGTTGTCTTAGTGGTTATTCATTGTTTAAGATGCAGACATGATATCCTGTCCACATCACTATTAGAACAAATCTTTCTATTCATTGAATTAAGAGAAAGTAGCTGTATATCTATCCTAGCTATTTTGAATGTACAGATACAAAATGGTTGTTCATTTGTATCCCCTTTTTTGTTTAGTTTTGTCAGAGAAGGGTATTCCATTGTCATTTAAATATTGTAGGTGCATGAATTCAGCGAATTCTCCATTATAGTCCAGTAGTCCATAATAGTAGTGGGTTATCTGTAGGATTGGCAATGTCAGAAGTTGTTGACTTGAGCCTTTTACAGCTTAGCATATTAATATGGCTTTAGTTTTTATACTTCGTTTTTATACTTTCTGCTGAATGGTTAAGACCAAGATAAATCAAGACCTATATAACAAGAAGTGTAACTTTTGTATCTGATAAGGTCAGTCAAATCCCCTAAGGATGTAACCTGAAGACCTATACCACAGTTTGTAAGTCCTTTGTCAATGTCAGCCATGTGGATGAGTCATGGCCATTGCTTAACCAATTTGCTTTCTGTGAAAACTTGAGAGAATGTTTTCCCTCCATGTGACTCTCCTTAGACACACTCTACATCATAGATCACTTTCCTCTGTGGCCCCATAATCTCCTTGATCAGTAAATTTTGGACACAGCTGAGTTATATGATGTTACAGTATAGGTTCTCCTATGTCCTGAGTCCTCACTGACCTTGAAAGTCTAGGGACAAAATGTTGGCTTTCCTTGTCGCCCTTCTTTTTCTCTAATTTTCAGTCTAATTCAGCTGTTTTTGTCTCTGCTCTGTGTCATTGCCCTTGATGTTCAGGGTTGTACCTCAAGCCCTGGCACAGAGTGGTGTTTTTGTGCTGCTGTTATGTGTAGTTGCGCCAGGCAACTAAGTTAACTATAAATCCAACAATATGCAGGATAGTTTTAGCAAAACTAATTTATATAATTTATATTATGTCTCTTGAGAATAGAAAGAGGAGAGGTAGACGAATATGTTATAGAACAATCGAATTAAATGTGAAGTAGAAGTGGTTGGGCCTATTTAAATCCAGTAGGCAGAGAAAGGTGAGCAGTACTCCAATTTATAGAAACAAAATTGTTAGAATCAATGTGCTTAGAATCAGGAGACAATGGCTTTTCAGTATTTTCAGTTTATTGTTAGAAATGGGGTGAAACCTTTAAGGCAAAGGAAACAAGAAACATTGAATAGGTGAAACACTGGACCTAATTTGAGTTTTGTGGGTACATCAGAGCTATTACTTATGTCATCAAAAGTATATATATAGGCGTTGGGGAGATGGCTTAGTAGAATAAGCACTTCCCTGGCAAAAACAAGGGCCTGACTCCATTCCCTGGTTCTGAAAAAAAAAAAGTATATGTAGTTTTAGAAGACTTCAGATTTATAGAGATGTTTGTTAAAGCGTTTGTTGGGTGACTTACTGTGAAGAAAAGTATAAATCATACTTTGACATTGAAACAGCATTGGATGGCAGATATTGTTATCCACTGAGTTATAGTAAATTGTTAGAAATAGGTAGTGCAAGGGAGGTTTGAATAGATATAAATAGTAACAGTCACAATAAAGGCTGAAAAGAGAAAATTTTACATTGTTAAGTGCAGTGCAAGTAAGACAGGCTAGACTGACTCCCAAATATCTCTACACACACCCTGGGACATCTGTTTGGGCAGGGGCTCTAAGAGTGGCAGGCATCCATTATGGAACATCTAAATCTTAGTGGTTGAGAGGAAGGCTCTAGATTGAGACTAGGTTCACATCATACAGTGACACTAAGCTTTCACCTTTAGAGAGAGATGTATTTTTTAGCTGATGTTTCATTTGTTTAGTGTGGAAGAATATTTATTTCAGTGGTTATGAATATCAAGTGGGATAATTTGTGTAAGCTCTGAGTAGTGGTATTATATGAGGATTTGCATAGGCTCTTAAAGCTGTATAATAATATTTATCTATGAAATAATAAGGTTATTCCTGTGAGAAATTACTGAAATTTTCTACATGCAGGTGTCCCATTCTTATTCATGCATTAAACTTTATTGGTATCTTTCAAGAGAACATTTTTAATCTAAATGTTTGAATAAAGGCTTTGATAACAAGCAAATGTAATGTGAATAAAGCCATCAAAGACCTAGAGCTATTGAATAAGCTTACAAATGAATAGTTTAATACACTTTAGCTAAGAATGTCTTATAAATTTTCTACAGTTAAGGACAAATGGAAAGATTATGCCTCAGTTTGCTTTAATTTAACATTTTATGAGCCAAAGACTTAAATTAGCAGGAATTCTCACTTTTAGATTATTCATTAAAATTAATTTTAAACATTTATTTAGTTACAGAGATTATCCAGATTATATGGGAATAACATTTCCTGGAAAGATGTGTGTTAACCATTATTCTGCAGGAGTTGTACTGGTATGTAAATACTTAATATCTTTTTAAAGAAATTAATACAATTCCATCCCATTTTGCAATGTCTGTTGCACATTTTAGAACTTATTTACTCTTTCAGTTTCTCACACCAGAGGGAAAATATTTTTGCACGTGTGCGTCTCATTTATTTCACTTATGACTATGGTCTCAAGTTGTATCTATTTACCTATAAAAGTCTCAGTACTCCACTGTATAAAAATACCAGATTTTTTTTTTTCCAGGGGAGGGTTCCAGGGATCAAACTCAGGACCTAGCACTTGGCAGGCAGGTGCTTATGCCACTGAGCTATCTCTCCAGGCACAGCCACATCTTTCTTTTTGCTCATTCCTTGGTTTATGGGCACAGGTGTTATTTCTAAGATTTAGCTGTTACAAATTGTACTAGTATAAGGTGGGTGCATATATATTGCTGTGATATGATAGTTTTAATTCTTTTGAGAAGATACCCAGAAGGGGAATATCTGGGTTGAATGAGATCTCCAATCCTAGTTTTCTGACATCACAGTCTACAAAATTATACTACAAAGCTAGTGACAAAATCAGCATCAGAAGAATTAATTTTAAGAAAATTTCTAGTGAAAGAAACTAGACCTCCTGTCAATATTTAACATACAATTGATACCTTTTCAAAGATAGGTAAACCACTGGTTTCTGGTAAAGAGAACAAACAAACATAATAACTGCTATAGGGATAAGAATATGTGCATATGGATCAGCTGTTTGAAAAGTTGGCATAAAGAAGTTTAAAGGGGAAAAGTGGTTAATATATTATGGTGTGGAAAATTATTTGAAAAGTTTCACTTAATAGTGTGGTTTTATTTATTGATTTATTTTTATGTTCAGTACAGAGTCTCACTATACAGATAGGATTCGTAGTGATCCCCCTGTGTTCCAGCTCCCCAAGAGCTGGGATTCTAGGTGTGCGCCACCAAGCCCAGTCTCAGTTGCCATCTCAGCGCACCCTGGGGGTAGAGCTGCCACGGGACACCAGGAATCTAACCCCAGCCGTTGTGTCTGCCTAAGCAGGTGCTTTAGTCCACTGAGCTATTTGGCAGGACCTAATAGTGTGGTTTTAGTACAAAGACTAAAATAGCCATGAAAGCTCTAACCTAGTTTAACGTGATTGTGATTATTCTCCCTTTTGAAATCATTCTGCCCATGGGCAGGCACATGTACCTAAAGTTTGTACATTCAAATCAATGTCCCTGAATAGAAAATAAGAATTCCATCTATAATTTCTTTGATTTTATAGTGAAAAGAACCACTCGTCATTTCTTCCTCCTATTTTCAGTTTTATGCTCACTGGTTATGGAGGGTAGGAAACTAAGTTCTGACTACTGTTTTAGGGCATCATTACTGACATTGCCCCTACCTCTCATCATGTTGTCTTTTAGCTGGTGCGAAAAGTGAGACTTCAGCCAGCCTTTACAGCACTGTATTAAGCCTGGTGCTCCTGGATTATAAGATACGTGATTAGTAAATCCTGTGGGGGTAACAAACCCACTCCTTTGAAAATTGTACCATAGAATGTGACCTCATTCTGCACTAACATTGTGTGGTGATGTAGAAAGAGTCTGTGGTTATGAGAAAGTAGTGTGGTGGAAATAATGTGGGCTAGCAAGGAAAATCCATACCCAGAGCAAGAGAGGACCAATCATTCCTCTGTCAGTAAATATGGTCTGGTGTACTGAACCTATCTCAATGGTGGGTGACCCAGTGTAGTGCCATAGTAGGGACTCATCAGTGGCCTTTCTTAATGGCAGGTAAGGGACTTATTTGTGCATGAAGTTAGGCAAAGCATTTCTGTTTGCAGGCATGGGACATTTATACACTGGCCTTTTGAGTAAGCACTTGAGGTGTCTGAAAAACTAAGTGTGACTGACATGCACCCAACAGATTTTTGATGACCTGATTTTCATATAATAGAAGATGAATATTTTTTGTGTTTTTAAAAATAGAATAATTTATATTCATGAAAAGTACTACTGTTTTATGAACAAATGAAACTCAGAAAGAAAAAGTGATCAGCATATGATAGGGCAACTAATGCCCTGGTTTCTCAAAATCCTTCAAAAAGGAGATAGATTCATAAATTAGTAATTCAAGGTTTGGTTTTTATTTTTTTCCCCTTGAATTTTTTTATTGGTACATTTTATATATACATAGTGATAGCATTCATAATAGGGGAATTGTACCTTGCTTCAAGCAATAGTTTCAAGCATTTTTTTTTTAATTTGGTGGAACTGGGGATTGAACTCAGGTCCTTGTACTTGCCAGGGAAGTGCTTATTCCACTGAGCCATCTCCCTGGCCCCGCATTTTTTTTTAAAGATTTAAAATTTCTGAATTTAGTTCAACTTATAATACCACATTTCAAGAAAAATGAACCTTTTGCAAAGACGTTTAAATAAAATCATACCAAGATGCACAAAAATGAAATTGTCCAAAACTTCTTGTAGAGAAAAAAATCATTAAAGCATATACATAAAAA